ATGGGACAGAGCTGCTGTTTAGCCTGGACCAAATCCTCACTACAGCTGCAACATCAGCGCGCCAACACAAACAAGAGTCTGGGACTGAGTCTAGGGGTGTGCACACTCTGGGGCGGGGTCACTGTTGTCTAGCTATATAAGCTTCAGTTATTATGTGTTTTGTTAATGCTATTCACTTCTAATTCTGTTAATCCCTGTTTAGTTCAGTAAAGATGGTTTATTTTAAGTGTTCTATTAGATGTATATGATTTGTAGTTGTTCTGGAATTAGATCCAGATTTATGTTGGAATGAGTACAGGCAGTCCCCGGGTTCAGCAGCTGACTTGGGGACGCCTGGGGTTCTTAAGTTGAATCTGTATGTAAGTCAGAACTGGTGTCCAGATTCAGTGGCTGAATCTGGATGCCAGTTCCGACTTACATACAGATTCAACTTAAGAACAAACCTACAGTCCCTATCTTGTACGTAACCTGGGGACTGCCTGTACTAAGAAGTCAGGACTGTTTCATGATGCGGCCCTTTAATAGGCTCTTGTGGGATGTTCTTAAGTTGAATCTGTATGTAAGTCAGAACTGGTGTCCAGATTCAGTGGCTGAATCTGGATGCCAGTTCCGACTTACATACAGATTCAACTTAAGAACAAACCTACAGTCCCTATCTTGTACGTAACCTGGGGACTGCCTGTACTAAGAAGTCAGGACTGTTTCATGATGCGGCCCTTTAATAGGCTCTTGTGGGATAATGATTCCCTTGATTAAGAAGAATGCAGTAACCTACGGGTCTTCTTCCATTTCTATGCTGGTCTGGGTTGGCTTTGACCCTGCATTTTCAAAGAGCATAATGCTAAAGAACTGTAGTTTATCCCTCCCTCTCTCCAAGAAAACGGAGGTCTTCTGCATTGTATGTGCTCATCACCCCATGTTCCACTTTGCGCAAAAGGACCACTTTTGGCCAGGGATCTTGTCTATAGGTCATCCCATCTGAAGTTGTCCGTCAGATTCCCAAGAATCAATGCTAAGTTTCTCTCTTTAGCTCAGCACAACACGGGCCTGTTTATTGTGCACCAGCTCTACCTTTCTAGTTTTAGTTCTTTTGCACATTTCTCTTTGTAAAAACATCTGGTTCTTGTGGATACAGTTTTGTTTTAAGGTTGATTTAAAATCTGTACCATATCTCAGATTCTGTCTTCAGAAAGGAATATTCTAGAAATCAGTAAATAAAACTATAAGGCTACATCTAGACTGCATGATATTCCGGAAATGCTTTTAACGGAAAAGTTTTCCGTTAAAAGCATTTTCTGAACAGAGCATCTAGATTGGCACTGACGCTTTTGCGCAAAAGCACTTTTTGTGGAAAAGCGTCCGTGCCAATCTAGACATGCTTTTCCGCAAAAAAGCCCCAATCGCCATTTTCGCAATCAGAGCTTTTTTGCAGAAAACAAATCCGAGCTGTCTACCCTGGCTCTTTTGTGCAAAAGTTTTGTGCAAAAGGAACTTTTGCCCGAACAGAAGCAGCATAGTATTTCCACAAAAAGCACTGATTTCTTACAGTAAGAAGTCAGGGTATGTCTACACTATCCCGCTAGTTCGAACTAGCGGGGTAATGTAGGCATACCGCACTTGCAAATGAAGCCCGGGATTTGAATTTCCCGGGCTTCATTTGCATAAGCCGGGGGCCGCCATTTTTAAATCCCGGCTAGTTCGAACCCTGTGCCGCGCGGCTACACGCGGCACGGAGTAGCTAGTTCGGATTAGGCTTCCTAATCCGAACTAGCTGTACTCCTCATTCCACGAGGAGTACAGCTAGTTCGGATTAGAAGCCTAATCCGAACTAGTTACTCCGTGCCGCGTGTAGCCGCGCGGCACGGGGTTCGAACTAGCCGGGATTTAAAAATGGCGGCGCCCGGCTTATGCAAATGAAGCCCGGGAAATTCAAATCCCGGGCTTCATTTGCAAGTGCGGTATGCCTACATTACCCTCCTAGTTCGAATTAGGAGGGTAGTGTAGACATACCCACAGTGCTTTTGCGGAAATTCAAGCGGCCAGTGTAGACAGCTGGCAAGTTTTTCCGGAAAAGCGGCTGATTTTCTGGAAACACTGGCCAGTCTAGACACAGCCTACCTGAATTTTGTAAGAGAGATACAAATTCTCTATGTATTATATTATCTATTAGAGTCATCTCCAACAGTCACTCTTACAAGTACACAGACATCAGAAATATCTCAGGAAATGAGGAAATTTTGGATTATGATAGCAAAATTTCCTACTGTAAATTGTGCCAATAAAATGATAAAAACTTTAACTGGAATGTTACATTTTACAACCACACAGGAGAACAAGTACCAAGCACTGAAACACTAAAAGAGTGACAGCTATTGCATCACAGTTAAAAGAGAACATGAGTTTCTGGTATAAGTCTGATTTCAACCCCACCTTCTATGTGTATTATTCTCAAAATATGTAAATCAGCTCTTAAGATACTGTAGAGGGGTTTTTTTTTCAATAAAATCTGAAGTAAGTCTGATAACCTGTTTCTGAACTATAAGACCCTACACTCGAGCTGTTAAGCACAAGTCCGGACATATTCTAATGGTATTTGTCTGTTTTGCACTTTATAGCAAAAAAAGGCAAGTTAACTGACTTGCATGGATTCCCTTAGCTGAGACCTAATGCTCTGGAGCAAAACGTAGGTGATTAAATTCAAATTGCCAGAGCAATTAACATTGCATTAGTAACACTGCTAAGGAATATCCGTTCTGGTGACCTCAGTGCTCAGCTCATCACGTGAATTTTGGAGCCCTAAGCTTGCTGTGTTTAACAAACCAGTCTCTAGCCCTTTTCCTTTCACAGACTGAGCCCACATCATGTCACTCAACAGCTTGAGAGGGTTGCCAATAGCAGACTTGTGGTAGCCGGGAGGAGACCCAAAGAGCCACCTCAGCTTCCTGAGCTGGTCTGGCAGCAACCTCAGTCTGCAGTGGCCCAGACAGGCCACGGGCAGGAACTGCTTCACGGCAGCAGCCTCTACCCGCGGGAGGCCCAGGCTTGCTGTGTAGAGAGGTTGCTCCGGCTGGGCAGGCAGCTCAGCTCAGTTCCAGCTCAGTCCCAGGCAATAGGAGCTGGGCAGCCTGCTCTTGGCTTCTTCTGAGTTTTAAATTGCAGGGCCACAGTGGGGTTTGGTCCCGGACCCAACATGAGCTGGGACTGAGCTGGGCTGCCTTCCCTTATCGACTAATCAAGTGGTCAATAAAAATTCTATTGACTATTCAATTAGTAATTTAACCTCATTGTAACATCCCTACTCATGAGTATCTCCCACACCTGGCTGCATCCCCCAAACCATCAGATTTCCAGGGGGTGGTGCAGACAAAAGGACAGAGGTGTATGTAAACCTGAGTGGCAAGAGGTTTCTGGTAGGGGCTAATGAGGGGGGAAACCAGGCCTATGGGAGAAATGAG